TGAGGATGTCATGGTGATGATGATGATGATGACGTTGACGATGATGATGACGATGGCGATGGCGATGGCGATGGCAATGATGATGACGACGAGGATGATGATGATGATGATGATGATGATGATGCTGACGATGATGATGATCATGATGCTGATGATGATGATGATGCTGATTATGATGCTGATGATGATGATGATGGTGACGATGATGCTGATGATGATGATGATGCTGATGAGGATGAGGATGATGATGATGATGATGGTGGTGGTGGTGATGATGATCATGATGATGATGATGCTGCTGCTGATGATCATGATGATGATGATGATGATGATGATGATGATGATGATGATGATGATGATGATGATGATGATGACGAGGAGGAGGAGGAGGAGGAGGAGGAGGACGAGGAGAACGAGGAGGAGTATGAGGAGGAGGAGGAGGAGGAGGTGGTGCGGAGGAGGAGCCGACGGCGGCCACTTCCTCGTCGTCGTCGTCGTCACCGACAACGACGAAGACGACGACGAGGGCACCGCCGCCGCGGGCTCTTATCGAAACCATTTTCTCAATCGTCTTCCCCTCCGAGCCGCTACCGTCGCGGCTCTTTGGGCGCTTTCGGAGGAGGCGCGGGAGAGGCAGGAAGAGTGAGGCGGGAATGCTGGCCCTCCGCCCATGACGATCACCATGGTGAGTCGTCAGCACGCGGCGCCCCCCCGCACGGCGGCGTCTGGGAGAGTCCTGGGAGGGCTGGGGATCGCCAGTGAAGCGTTTGACCAGCCCGAATCGTCATCCCCGCCGCTCCACTTTGTCAGCCCTCGGGCCCAGACCGGCTCTCCAGACGGCCCCGGGGCCAACCCTTGTGGGGGCCACGGGGCTTGCGAATCTATTTGTTGAGTATTCACAATCATTGACACACATTAAGATTGACCCTTCGCTAGAGTGACCTGTCGTGTGGACCCACACGTGTCCCCCCAGCGTTGGCCGGCGCATCGGGAGATCGTCGGGGGAGGTCAAGATGGGGGTCATGACTAGGAGGGATAACGTGGCGGGGGCCATGAAATCTCTCCAGGTATCACGTCCCCTCTTCTTAATTGTCAGCGCATGTTCTTCGGGCTATGATTTGCGAGCCCCCCTTCGGATGCCCCCCTCCTGGACGTCGCTGATGGAGCTTGGGAGTGAGTCCAGGACGGGAGCTGGAGTATGAGAGTGCTATGCGCCCATATCCGTCTAGCGCAGAGATCTATGCAGATCAAGGCCCTGCGTGTTTGTTCGACAGCCGCCCCTGTGCCAGGGGAGCAGGTGCACCGCGACCAATGGGCCATGCCTGCAGCGGGATGTGTGACAGCCAGAGCATTGAGAGTTTCACGATCCACATCAGCAGGGCGGAGGACGTACCACTTGGAATAGAGTTCGACACATCTGACGGCTACTCCGTCAGGCTGAATGCGGTCGAGACGGGAGGGGCCATCGCCAAGTGGAATAGGTTCCATCGCATGGAGCAGGTGAAGATGGGCGACCACATCGTCGCGGTCAACGGCGTCCGTGGCAGCGCGTCAGGCCTCTTGCAGCGTATGAAGCAGGCGCAAGAGCTCGAGATAGAGCTTCATCGTCCTGCCACCTATTCCATCCAGGTCACAAAGAGTCCGGATGGGCTGGGGATTGATACCAGGCAGGCGCAGAATTCACGAAGTTTGATGGTATCGCACCTGGTGGGCAACGGTGTCGTGAAGAGTTGGAACGATTCCAACCAGGCCACGCAAGTGAAGGTGTACGACAGGATCGTCAAGGTCAATGGCAGGCCTGGATCGGTGGACGAGATGACCAGCAAGATCATGGCGGTGCAGGACGGCGGGAAGCTTGAGCTTACTTTCACGGCAGCGGCCCCAAGAGGGCAAGCGAGAGGTGCCTCGGTTGACACCTCAGCCAGGGAAGACGACTGCTCGATCCCGGCAGCTGCCGAGGATAATAAAGAGAATGGGAGCAAAGAGGTGGTACTCCCGCCATTGAAGTGAATTGAAGTGGTTGACCAACCATGAGTTTGCAACTTGCTCTGGTGCCACATGTTCCTGTGCTTTCTCGGCAGCGCGCTCGGTCGCTTTGCGAATGAGTTCTGCACTAGATTGTGTCCAAAGGGCTGGCCGAAGTGCTGGCCTGCAATCGGCTGCACAGCATTCAAAAAAATGAGGGATACATCGCTTGAGAAGACAACCGCTGAACAAGACCCACTGGGTCGAGGGGGAGTCTGGATTCGATCGCCCAAGATGGGCGAATAGCAACGTAGATATGTGAGAGGATTGTGCATCGCTGGGGCGCCCTCAGAGTAGATCGGCTGAATGAGGCAATTGTCCAAGGTTGTAAGATAGTCGCGATGACGATCACAAGGGCGAACATGAACTTGTGACGCATTTCACCGCAGTGCCGATATTCAAATTGGCCTGACGAAAGACCCAACCATATGCAGATGCGAGTGCCGCATTGTGGGTACCGCTTTCGGTGGATCTCCTCATGGGGCCACGAACCGTGTGAGGGGTGTGCCGAATTGGGTGCGGTGGAGCTCCCGACGGGGCCACGAAACGTGTGAGAGGTGTGCCGGAATGGGCGGGGGACGCATGCGAACCCTGCCTTTGGGGCCTTCGGTGGAGCTCCCTATGGGGCCACGAAGCGTGTGAGGGGTGTGCCGAAATGGGAGGGGGGACGTATGCGAACCCTGCCACTGGGGCCCACGAAACGTGTGAGGGTGTGCCGAAACATAGACATGCGGAGGGCAGAGGCAAGGAGGGAGGAGGGGGAGGAGCGCGGGAGGTGAGGTGAGGTGAGGTGAGGTGAGGTGAGGATCGCGGGGCGCTGTCTCTTCAAAACGAGTGCCCAACACCACAGGATGGTTGAGGAAAAAATCACCCGTCTTTTTTTTTCAATTGGTTATGCGTAAGTGCAACAATCAATAGCAATATTGACAATTGTCGAGGTCGTGAAAATACTCGTGGGCAAATATCATATCAGTATTCGCGGACTCGCGGGCCGGGCCCGTGTGCCGCGACCCTGCGAATACGGGTTGCTTTTTCGCAGATGTCTCCTCTCGGACCGTATCCGTGCGACCGCGTACCTGCGGGATCGCGCCCCGGAACCTCTCCGCGAGGGCGCGGATACGGATATGTCTGCCGCTCGTGAATGCACTTGTACCCCCCAGAAAAAAACCTGGATGGGAGAGCCCCGCCTTGCCCCCCCTCGGGCTCCTCCCGTCCTTAGCTCGTCAGACGCACGGCGCTTGGCGTCGGCGCCCGCGGGCAAAAAGACGCGGGCAGGTTGGCTCACGGGTCCCTGGGCGGCCTCGTGGACTCCGCTTCTCCGTCTGCCGAGCCCCACCTTCGGTCGTCGACCTTCGATGTTCGATCTGCGGTGTTCGATCCTCGCACCTCGGTCCTCAATGTTCGATGCGCGATCCTCCATCCCCGATCCTTGATGCATGCCCGGATGGCTCCAAGATGGCCTCTGGACGCCACGACAATGCCATCATGACCACCCACATGGTCTCACTGCTTCCTGGCGACCTCTCTATCACCTCAAGATGACATGTAAGAGCTCTGCGATGACCCCGAAATGACCCCAATGCGACTCCCTTGAATGACCTTCGGGACCCGAGATTGTTTCGAGTCGAACCCATGGCTTCCATATACATTTGGGATGGCCCTGGGGTGACCCCATGACCTCAAGACGCACCTTCGACCATCGGAAAACCCGAATACGACCACGTGACTCTTGTATGACCTCACGGAGGCCCATCAAGAACCATGACCCCACGATGCTTCTGGATGTGCCGAGCCTCCCAACATAAATCCACAGTGATCCGACTATGGTCCCAAGCGATCGCGCGTGGTCGGTGTGCAGTCTGAACGAGCGCGCGCACTTTGTGGCAGCGTGCGCTGCACGTGTTCGAGGGCGGCATCGACGCCGTCAAGGTCAACGCGCACACTTCGATGATCGATGCGCGTGAGGGCCGCGCGGCCGAAGTGCACAAGCGTGGCAATGATAGAGCCGACGAGTGTGCCAAAGCAAGTGCAGCGCGCCACCCAGATGTCAGCGAGAATTTGAGAAAGTTTAGATATCTGGCAAGTTTGCCCAGAGAGCTTGGTAGGTGGATCGGGGCTCCGGAGGTCGACCAGTCTTCCAGAGGCCTCAGAGACGCCATTGATTTTCCAGAGCGCACGAAGTCAGTCGAGAAGAGTCGGGCCTCGCGACACCTCGCGGAGCAGCGTGCTTCGATCCCGCTCGATTTGTCCGCGGTCCGATGCTATGACCGACTCCGATCCCGAATTAGAGATTTTGATTCAGTTGCAAGGTCACCAGCTGAGAGTAGCATATGTACCCAATAGCGAAGGCGACCTTGTCTTGGCAGGCAGTAAGGTATTTCTGTGTACCCGTCGTGGTGGATTCGCATAGGGAGGAGTGCGGTCTCTTGCCCGTCCCTGCCAGGCCCCGACGTTTGCGCTGAAACGCCAGAAGGGGAGAATGGAGAGGGGGATTTTCCCCAACTGGGCGGTGCAGTACAGAGGTTGGCGGATTGTAGCGATGCACAAACTGTCCAGCCACGAATTGTTTCATCTTGCTCAGCGTGGAATTCGCACCCACACCCCTCAGATGATCGCTTCAGATGACTCGGCAAAGGGAGTGTGGGGAGAGAGGTGGAGCGAAGAGGTCCTCCTTTCCAGGTTTGGTTTTGCTCAGGAGCTGCTTGAGAAGTTAATGGCCCAAGAGAGGTCCATAGAGTCAGGCTCTGGCGGTTCAGGCTCCGACTCCGATTAGTTTGCTGCGCTTCGGGGGTAGCGGCACTGACGCTGCTTCCGCATGGAAAGAACGAAGGAACGAACGAGGAGGGTGAAGGAGGAGGAGATGGAATAGACCCTGGAAGAAAGAGGAACTGTGGGAGGGGAAGAGGAGGCGGAGAGGATATGGAGGTGGACCAGGGCCCTTCTTCTCCAGAACCCCCCCCCCGACCCGAGCGCAGGACTGCTCCCCCGGTCGGCCCTCGAGGTCGGCCCGGCAGAGCGGAACACCCGCGTTGGATTGCTTTGGGGAGCAGGATCGGCGCGCCCCTCCTTCGCCGCCGCCCGACGCCGCTGGTCGACGTCCTCATCTCCTCCATCCCGCCATTTCTCCTCCTCCTCCTCTTCCTCCTCCGCCTCCTCCTCCATCTCCTCTTCCCCGCCTTCCGTTTCCTTCTCCTCTACTCCACCTCTCGTTCTTCTCTCCCTTCCTCCTCAATCTCCTCCCCCTCCCCTCGTTACTCGTGACTGGGCAGTGTGCCTTCGATGAGCGCTGCCCTACCCCTTCAGGGCACCCTGGTGCACCCGGAGGGGCAGAAAGAGGGTGAACCTCGCAAGATGATTTGCAAATCGATCTGGCGCAAAGCTGTTCGTTCAGAGACTACGCATGGTTTCCTGGGAATTTGATAGGAGTATCGCTTGGACTGTCAGCAGGCGGGGCAGACGGGGCGGAGGACTCGATCAATCCGCGGCGCCTCCTCCAGACTTCGGGCGGGTCTGTTTGTTCATTCCCTGCGTTCTCCCTATTCACTCCAGCATTTTCACTTCGATGGCCGCGGATTGCAAAGAAGCAGTCCATCGGATGTCTTATTGGGGTCGTTCCCATTTCCCATCTCCCCTCAGGGAAGAACGTGGGAGGCCTTCCTGCGTCCGCCTTCCTCTCTACTCTCTCCCTCCTACTCCTCGCTCCGCCCAGACTCCTCCGTCACACCCCCCCCGTCTTCAGGAGGGGGGGGGGAGGGAGGGGCTTAGGCGCGTTGTGCTCATTTCTGGGCGGCGTCCAGTGGGGCCTTCGTCTTCACAGCCGGAGACTCGCCTCGAAGTCTTGACCGCTGGCGCGCTCCGAGGCAGGACCCTGGCCCCCGATCTTGAGGTTCGAGGAGCGGCTTCCATTCCCCCCAAGTTTCCCCTCGATCGCCCCCTGCCACTCCCTTGCACCTGGGGCTGTGCCGCTGCTTCTCCTGCTTCTCCCTTTCTGATCCCCTTCCCCCTCCCCTCCCCGGACATGCGACGTGTTGTGTTTTTCAAGGCGGGGTCCCCGGAAGTCCCGACCCCCTTCCGGAAGTCCCGACCCCCTTCCTGGGGCCAGTTTTTCATCCCGAGTCGTTTTTTGACGGTCCAGGGGTTCCCAGGTGGCCGAAGATGGCCAAACAGTTCCCGTCGCGATTTTCTTGCGACGCGAGCATGTCTTGATCTTCGAGCTCGGGCCGGGACCGCTGCTATCACATGGCACCTCAAGCATCGGACGGTGTGGGAGACCTCCCCAGATTTCATGGGGCCCTCCCCAGATCTCCCCTCCTCTTCACCCTTCGCCAGGCAGCGCAGCCTGCCTGAGACTGGCGTGGCGGCGCGTAGAGATTCGGCAGCGGTGGAAGGTGCACGCATCGCTGTAGCGGCTTTTGCTCGTGGCATATCAGGACGGGGGGAGCGCCACCCTGCAGTGTTTAACCTCAGCACGTCCCTTGGCCCCCCCCCCCCGGGCTGCGCACGTGCCTCTGGCCATGATGCGGGACCCCCCCTCTTGGACGCCCCCCTCTTGGACGCCCCCGGCACTCCTTCCATGGCGCCGGGGCAGGTCGCCGCTTGCGTCGTGCAGCGGCCCAGGAGTCCCAGGACAGGGCGACTGGCGGGACGGGGGGAGGGGGCGAGGTTGGCCTGGAATCACGACGGAATGTTTTCTTCTTTTTCGATTCGGGATGGAAAACCATTCCTGGTGAACTGGTCGAGACGTGTCTGGGTCGACGCCATGTGCAAATCATGACGCCAAGGGTCTGGTGGCGGTGATCGACTAGACGTAAAAGTGACCCTTCGCTGGAGTGACATGTGGTGCGGGATCATTGGGGTCCCCCGATCGCCGAACGCGATGCGATAATAGCGTCTTGCGCGCCTGTGGTTGGTCCCCCCGCGGCCCCCAAGAAGCCGCGCACCAAAGGTCACTCTTTCCCAGGGGGGTCACTTTTGCGTGAAGCCGAGATGATGTTTTACTGGGGTGGAGAGGGATCCTGAAGAGGAAGGGAGGGAGATGGGAGGAAAGGAAGTCGCGAAGACAGGAGGGAGGACAAGCGGGAGTAGGAAGGGACTGATTTCGTTGCGTTCGTTAAGGTCGGGGCGCTGAGTCTCACAACCTTCCTTGGATCGGGGGAGACCTGTGTCCCTCCAGCAGAAGATGTCAAGATAATTTGACAAGGACGTCTGAATCACCCCTGGATGACTTGCGTTGTGAGGCTCATATGAGCCCTGAGTCACCCCTCTCTCAATGAGAGCATTGCAACACACAACCAACGGAACGTGAAGCAGAAACAGAAGTTGAAGGGAAACGAGATTGACGCGGAGACGGGAGGGGCGTGATGGGGATTGGGCAGGAGGAGGACGAGACGGACGACGACGAGAAAGAAGGCGGCGATGCACACATAGGGGATACGTAGGAGAAGGATCCAGGAGGGAGGGAGGGTGGGAGGGAGGGGAGAAGGATCCAGCAAGGAGGGAGGGAGGGACGAAAGTAGGTAGGGAGGGCGGGACGGTGCAGCGATGATTAGGAGGAAGGAGAGGGACGAAAAAAAGGGAAGGAGGGGTAGTCGTGGGGGGAGGGAGAGCGGGAGAAAGGGAGGGAGACAGGGTGAAGGAAGGAGGGATAACGTGAGGGAAGGATAATGGGAAATAAAAATACGAGGGGAGGAGGGAGAACGGGAGGGATGGGAAGAAGAACGAGGGAGTACGATTGACAGGGAGCTCAGGGCGGAGTGATCAGGGAACGTGGCCCCTTCTGCCCCATGTTCCTCCGCCGCCTTCCACATCTCCCCAGGGCCACGTATCATGTGTGACAGCGTGGACCCCAAACAGTAGATCGGTGCACTCACGAAGTGCAGTCCATGTGGTGCAAGACACGGGGTGTGAACTGGTGTAAGCTATGTGGTGCAATCGGTGCGTAAAGTGTACAGCGGTTGTGGTACAGCTGGTATACGTAATGTGTTTGGCTCATAGCTCAATTATTATGGTCGTTTTCTATTTTCATGTAGTGTATCGTTGGGTTGTCTTGTTTTGTTTGGCTCTTGCCAGGCTACCAGCGAACGGCAACAATGTTTCCGATGTTTCTGCGTTTTCTGGTAATTGTTGTTGTTGGCGTCTCCATCGTCATCGCAAGATCCATAGACGGGGCGGGGCTGGCACTGGCTTCCGCGCGCAGAACTGACACCAGTTAAAAAAAACACGTTGACACTGGTCCGACATCGGTTCGAAACAGGCATGGAAACCAATGGCCCGTCCGCGGTGGGCCCCGATGACGGAGAACAGCAGTTTAAACACACACAGTACAGTAGCTACAATGCTTAACACTGTAAAGTCTGAGACCAAAAAGCACGAAAGTAAAGGCTTCCAACACGCGAAGCTGAATACGCAAAGTAGCGCCATAACGCCCCTCTTATTTTCAGGATGAGCCAAGGCTCTGTGGTGCAAGCTGTGGTTTAAGCTATGTGATGTAGACTATGTGATGCCAAGCGTGCGGTGGTAACTACGTGGTGCAAGCTATTATTGGGTAGGCAGCACAAGGCGCCCACGGGCGGTCCCCGGGCGGGCACGAGGCGCCAACGACGCGCCCACAGGCGGGTTCGGGTTAAGTTGGGTATGTCCGTCTACAGGAGGAATATTCAAAACTAGTCAACAAATAGTCTGGAGACGATTTTTCTACCATGTTTTGACTATGTTCGAGCATTCTTAAACTACGTGCTAGTTTTCGTCCAAGATCCCCCTGTAGGAGGACATGCCCGACCTAAGGTTCGGGGCGAAAGCCCAAGGCCCAAAGAACATTCCCAGCACAAGGCGCTCACGGGCGGGCACCTTGCGAAAAATTTGGGAACCGACTCGAGCATTTGAAAGAACAAACATCCCCGAATTGCATCCACTGTTATTGGAATGTCTCCTGCTCGTCTACTTTGCAATTTCCTCCCCCTGTAAGACCGTGGTTGTTCTCGCTTGTTCTGGTTTTGTGGTGGACTGCTTTGGTTCGAGCTGCCAAGCGCATGCCGACCAGGATGGTTTCAACGTGCTCGGGCTGGTGGTTGGTGGCTACGAGGACTTGCCTGATTGCCCTCGTCTCCCCAGGACGGTTTTGTTGCAGCCCCAGCGCGTTCAGTGTTGACGCTTGCGAAGAGAAAACCGCGAAAGTAATGCAAGCACGCGGCCGTTGTGTGTGTGTGTGTGTGTGTGTGTGTCTGTGTTGTTGCTTGGCGGCGGCGCCAGGCCGTTCACGTTTGCATGTCGTCATGTTCGTCGTGCATTGGCTCTGGTCCTTTCTCTGCACGTCAGCTACGCCATGCCCACCCACCGGCAGACACCCAGCGGTATTTGATCCAGGCGTGTCCCGCCCTAGAGTTCGCTGCGTTGGATCCGGTGGTGGTTATGTTAAAGTGTGGTTAAAAGTGTGGTTGTTGCGCGACTTCGCTGACCGAGAATTTAAATGTGTGGTTGTGTTGTTGCTCCCGCTCTGTCGCCACAGTTGCTGCTGGGCATTTCGGGTTATTCTAGTCTGCCGGGCACCGCGAGGACGCCGCGGGACTTGCTTCCGGCTCAAAAGCGCCCGCGCGTGCGTGCGTGCGTGCGTGCGTGTGTGTGTGTGTGTGTGTGTATGTTTGCGTGTCAGTGTGTGTGTGTGTGTGCGCGTGTGTGTCACGCGCATTGTTTGTACGCTTTCTCTGCCCCATCGCTGCGCGCGAGGCGGCTACCACAGCAACCCACTCCAGAAGCACCAGTGTGATTCCCGCGACCTCGTCAGCCCGCCTGGATGCGAATTGCTCGCCCGCGCAGGGCGCTACAGCCCACGCTCTGCCCGCCCGGGCGGAGCGCGCCCTCCAACAGCTCCAACGCTGCGACGAGCACGTGCGAGAAGGGCCGACAGTGGAAGCGGGTCGCGACGGCAGTGGCAGCACGGTGGGAGGAGCGAGGAAGGACGGCAGTGGGGGCGTGGAAGGTGACGGCATGACGGGGAGGGACGGCAGTGGCAGCGTGGTCGGGGAGCAGAGAAAACTGGGGAGGGACAGCAGGCTTGGGGAAGGAGGAGAAGGAGGAGCGGGGAAGGACGGCAGTGGCGGCACGACGACAACGGACGGCAGTGGGGGCATCCTGGGCGGGCGGGCAGCGTCAGCCGGCCCCGCCGTTGCTCAACGGGCAGTGGGCGGCGACATTGGGGCCGGCCATCATCAGCTACAGCGCTGCGACCAGCGCGTGCGAACCCGGTGTTCCCCAGAGAGACGTGACTGGCGACCCGGCCTGCTCGCACTGCCGTGCGAGGCGGGCGACGTGGCCATGCGCACGCTGCGGAGCACAATGCTGCAGTCGTGGTTGCCAGAGCCTCTCGTGTTTGTTTCCACTCCGTTGTTGCCCTGCGCCCGAGGAACATATCAGCTCATGTGCTGGAGTCGGCGTTAGCATGAACTCGGACTGTGGCTTGAAGAGTTGGCTGAAGGTATTTCCAAGGCCTTTTAAGAAGTTGGCTTATGAACGTGGGTGTAAGGAGTTAAGGACGTGGGGCAAGAGAGTGGCTGCAGAACGGCCTCGCCATCGGGCAGTCGTTCCCTGTTTCCCTTTTTTTCGGTTCCTACCGACCCCCGGTAGGGCCCACCCAGTGCCATCCGGCCTTTGGGGCTGGAGGTCGTTGTCTCGCCCTCGCGGGGCGTGGTCCAGGTCCCCCCGCCGTTCTTATTAAATGCGCCTTTCGGCTCGCCGGGCTGCTTTGCGGGGAGCCGCGCAAAGAACAGCGGCACTGTTTTTAGTTCACGCAGTCCGCTGGGGAAAAAAAACAAAAAGCTCCCCGCCCGTACCCTCCCGCGCTCCCCCGGGCCGCGCGGAGGTGTGAGCCCCTTGCTATCGCTGGGATTGTGCGTTCCTGCCTTGCCTGGGACCGACCCATCCCTCGCGTGGTTTGCCACGGCGGCCTTTCGGCCGTTCCTTGTGTTCCTTTTGCCCCCCCCGGCGCCTCCTGGCCGCCGCTCCTGGCTCCCTATGCCCGCCGGCGGGCCAGGCGTCCAGCGGGCGACTCGCCGCCCTGCTGCTGGGCAGAGTCCCCCCCCTTTGCCCCCAGCCTGGGGCCGCCTACCGTTGCCTCGGCCAGGTAGAGGAGCCGCGCACATGCGCCGTTTGCCGCCGCTCGGCCTTGCCCGGTCTCCCATCTGGGTGGCCTTCCCTTACCGTGATTGCACCTGTTCGGTGCTTGCCGTTGTTCAGCTCCCCCGCGGTTTTCGCAGGGACCAGCGCGAACCCGCTACTACCCGGCCTGCCAGCCAGCCTCCCCTCCACGCCCTGGGGCCTGGGCTGGTTTTGCCGCCCGCGAGACCCCCCCCTCCGTGCCTGGTCACCACGCCCCGCCCCCCCATCCCTGTGGGTTCGGCACTCGCACTGGTTGCGCTCCCACTCCAGCGGCTGTACCCGTCAGCCCTGCTGCCGCCAGCCCCCCGGCCGCCGCCGCGGGTGGTTTTTTGGCACCAGCCCCGCCACGCCCCTGGGCTGTTCTGAGCGGGCCCGGCTTCTCTTACGTTGTGTGGTCCCCCCCCGGGCCGGCGCCCTGTCGTTTTCTTCCCTCCCTCCGGCATCGTGATTGAATTCGCCAAACGCGCCCCGTTGCGCTTTACTCGCCAGCGCAATCCCTCTGCCTAGCCTCCGACGGAAAAAGTGCGTAGGTGTGTGTGTGTGTGTGTGTGTGTGTGTGTGTGTGTGTGTGTGTGTGTGTGTGTGTGTGTGTGTGTGTGTGTGTGTGTCCGTAGCCCTCTGGCTCAAGCCGTCTGGGGGACCCCCCTGTCTCGAGGATCGCCTGGGCCACGCGCCGGCCCCCCCGCGGCGCTCCCCGCCTCACGCCGCCCTCGGCCGCCATTCCGGCGCGATCTGATCGCTACCGGATGGCGGCCGACCCGTCGGTGGTCGGACCGAAGCCTGAAATCTCCTCCCTGCAGCGCCCGGAAGTGTCCGAGTGGCAGCTAGTTGGAGAACGCGGGCAAGATGTCCCTGACCCCGCGCTCGCGGCCGCGCCAGAAGACGAGCAGGAGCAGGAGAAGAGAGAGGAGGCTCTGAGGTACGGAATTTTGGAGGACGGCGGCATTCTGCCCACCGCCACGGGGGAGCCGGATGAACACCAGGACGTGCAAGCCAGCGCGGGGGCTGCCGCAGGCCCTGAATGTATGCTACGCAACCGACTACGCGTACCTCATTGACCGACGCCCTGATCCCTGTCCCCCCCCCCGCCGCCAGGCCCCGGCAGCCCAGGTGCTGACGACGACGGCGCGGCTGGCTCACCGACGCGGGGACACTTCACTGGAGTCCACCGCCCCCTGGCTGAGGACGAGGGGAAAGGCCTGGAAGGAGGAGGGGATCGCTCGGCATCCCCGCAGCATCCCAGGACCTCCTGCTACCCACTTTCGTCGTCGGACAGCCTGGGGTACCAAGGGGGCCAGGGGGATTGGGGAGCTATACAGCTGCCTAATGCCCCGCACCGTGGAAGTTGCACTCCACCAGCCTCCCCCCCGTTCTCTCCACTCCGTGTGCAATCCGAAAGTGCGATTGTTAGTCGCCCTGATTCCGCGCGAGTCCCTGGACAAGCAGATCTTCGGCATCGCGGCGTCCTGATTCCTCTTCTTTCCCCAATCTCACAGGCAATTGCGACCGCTAGTCGCCCTGATTCCGCTCCCGTACAGGGACAAGCATCTCTTTCTCTGTTCTCTGGTCACTCTGAATTTGCGACCGTTGGTCGCCCCGATTCTGCTGGAGGTCCCGTGCGTCCTCGCCCTACCTCTCTTCTCTCTCCCCAGGTGGAGGTGGCGGAGAGGCCTCCCTGATTCCCCGTCACACGTGCGCCGACGACGTGGCCGACCCTGTAACTCACGCGGTTGGCATCATTGATCCCCCCAGCTGCGCAGAGTTCATCGCTGGCAGGGTCCTGGACATCACTGCAGGCGACGAGGGGCCGACTGGGGGGCGAGGGGGGCCCAGCCGACCGCGGACGACAGGGCATCGCGATCATGGCCCCCCAGGACAGCCGACCGCGCGGACCGACCAGTCCGCGCCCCCCCCCAAACCTGCCGCGATGAGGAGGGCACAGGCTCGCAGATCAGCGCCGATCGCCCTGCTCTGTCCGCCCGCCCAGGCACCGCTTCTGGACCTGCTGACCCCCTTAGCGCGCCTCAGGATCCGCCTGCCCCCTCCTTAGATGCCACCCACATCCCGGTAGAAGGCGCGAGCGTCGAAGCGGGGGGCCCCCGTGGCGACGCAGGCCTAGATGATCCAAAAGAAGACCCAATAGCCAAGAGGCAGGACGGAGCGCCTGCAGCCCGCGGGGGCGAACCCGACGCCGCACCGGGCGCTGCCGCCGCGGCAGCGCCGCACAATGCCGGCGCGGCACACTGCGTGGATGTGGAGCACAACCCTACAGCTGCTCCATCACGGCCGGCGCAGGATGAGTCGACGAGCGGCTCTGAACCCGCGCCGCCACTGGATCCAGCCAAAGATGGTATCAAGTGGACCTGCACCGTATGCAGGGCCCAAATCCCCGCCCTGCAGCTGGCATGCAGATCGCCGCGGCCATGTAGGGCCCACTGGAGACCTTGCCCAGGAGTGCGCCCCGACCCTGGCACCCATTGGCGAATGCGAGGCAACGACGCGTTGCGGCCGTGCCAGAGATGCCCCGCGCCCACACCTATCACTGTGACTTCGCCCGCTGTGCCCACTGCGCCCACTGTGACTTCGGACAGCCGCGGGACTTCGAACAGTGGGGCCCCCTCGAGGACGAAGACGACCTGCTCTGGCCTCCCCGATCCCCCCATCAAAGCGCAGCCCTCACCGACATGATGAACTGGTTCGCGGGAGAATACCGCCAAGACCCGCCGCGCTATGGCGACCCACGCGGAGACTCTGAAGTGGCCCACCCTGCTGGCATCTCTGCCAGCGCAGAGGTCTGCACACCTCCGAGCGCGCTGGGCGCGGCCGACGCTGCCAGGCCCCTGGCCCCTGAGCAGCCATGACCGCGTGGCGCGGCGAGGTGGGATATATCCACGCGCCTACGAACTCTTCGCGATACGATTTGCGCACCTGAACCACATCGTCCAGCACGTGCGCCCTGATCCG